GAGAGAGAGAGAGAGAGAGAGAGAAGAAGAGTGGTGTCGGGCCGTGTGGTTTCCCGTTCACTAGAGAATCGGCGGACATGTAAGATCTCGTTCAGCCTCTTTCATTTTCGTTTCCACAGAGTTCCGGTGTCAAACTCGTTGAGACGGAGCGTCGCTCGGGATTAAACCGGCAATGCCATCGTCACACCTGTTTGCCGCGAGGTTCTTCGTTGTTTCACACGGCTCTTAAACGCGTGAGCGAGGAACCGCGTTATCGCCGTCCTTTGCGATAACGCGTCAATCGTGGAACGATCAAAATGACACTTTATTTCGGATTGAAGGAAGGACCGAGTGAACTGATTCTTATTAATTAATGGGAACTTTAAGTCGTCGAAGCTCAACGTGTCCAATTAAACAATATACGACTGATCATGGCACGAAAAATAATTTCTGAAACGTACGAGTGTCATCTTCCGAAAGAGAGCTGGAATCTTGCACTCGTTCGCGTTATATTTCTCTTGGAATGATGAAAATGGACCGGAATGGTGACGGAATCCTTCGTTTCTTTCGACAGAGATTTCGATGAAAAAGAAAACGAAGAAAGAAAGATAAAACGAAAGAGAGAAAGAACTCTCTTTTCATTTCTCCGCGTGCCCCCTCCTGTCCTCACCTCCGGAAGCAAAACCGATACGGACCCCCACGAGGAGAACTCGAAACATTAAAGAAAGCGCGCGGTTGTTAATGCAAAAATGCAAAGGTATACAATATGACGGGATCATTATTTGAAAAGTACAGTTGAGCTTCGGGCCGGGCCGGGGAGTTGTTTGAGTAATAAAGAGCGAAAGGTTCGCAGGGGCTGTGAGGACCTCGACATCGCAGCCGTGCCTTTGATCAACTTACCGGCATTTCCCCCGACTAAACGCGCGCTGATCTCCCATGAATATGGAGAATCCGTCAGCCGAGGTTACACCGACTACCGACTACGTCATCTAATTGTCGTCTTTTAAACCTCAGGTGCGACATCGTCGTCGTCCTCGTCGTTTCGTGCTAGCCTCGAAATTCCTCCAGCAACGACGCTCGATGAAATTCATCCGTAACGCCGATCAGTTTCAATCTAATCCAACTTGGCTTCGTGTACGTATGTTCT